AAAAAATAACATTAGAACCAACATGTTCAACTAAGAACACAAATGTAATTCAAACCAGCAATTACAGAACTTCTCCCAATATCCTCTCCAAATGCTTACTCCTAATGCCATTAAGCCTAAGTTTAGGATCTTTTACCTACATTTTATAATTTCCCACCCCCACCAAAAACAATCAACTAAATATATTGAATATTCATAAGGAAATGACGCATTATTGACAGAAAACTGACGCATTATTGACGGCAGAATAACACATTATTGACCGCAGAAATGACGCATTATTGATGCCACAAATGACGAATTTCTCACCCTCACAAAAAACAAACCAAACCCAATAAAATCAATCCAGCAACAGTAAACTTACCTCTCAAACTCAAGCGGGAGCTCCGAAGTCAATCAGCTTAAGAGAATGTGGTGGACATTAGAGAAGACTCTTTGGTAGTGGAGACTCCATCTCTACCACAATCGAGGAACAAATGCTGCTGCGGCGTCTAGCTACAGAACCAGATATGCTACTTTGCTTTCATCTGGAATCTCGTGTGCTGAACGAAAAAGAGAAGGGGTTTTCACTTCAGCCATAGAATCAAAACAGGGCAATAGCTAGATAAGAGCCATTAATCGTCATACCGAGAATGCCATAGATCGCAGGCCTCCCAAGGAGCTGATGACAATGGAGCGACTATAGGGTTTGGGAGCTTTGGATCTTTCTAATTCTGGGTTTGCGTTACATTCAAAAACAGAGGATTGTGTTCTTGAATTTTTCAGATTGGGTTTCCAACGGGTCAGATTTCAACCCGGTTCTACATGCACCCTCTTTTAAAAACTCACCGTTGGATGAAATCCAATGGCTCTAACATACCCCTCAAAAAAAACCCCTTTTAACTTTCCCCTCACTATAGAAGCTCCCCAAAACATATCAGATACCGTTTTTTTATGGTTTGGTCCATGGACCTGAATTGTGATGGTTTGGCCCGTTATTATGCAATAAGAAACAAAACAGGGGAAAGAAAAAAGAGACTTGGGAAACACATTTTAATTATGACATAGTACCAAACCAATGTTGTGCATTCGATTGAGATATTCCAAGTAAATCTTTTCGGTTTCTCCTCCTTTGTGACACTTGTTTTGTAGAAAAACCACCCGAAGAGCTATATACAATGATAAACCCTCCTCTGGAAATCACACGTAAAGAAATGTTGCAAAATGAAAAGCACCCCAAGAGAAGGTATGCCGTCCTGCAAAACCACTGCACCCTAATCAGAAATAATGTAAATAAAACCAGAATTTACTTACCAAAATATTATTACAAATCAGATTGAGTTTTTGTGTAAAGCACAAATTAGAAAATAGCATCAGACCAGTAAACCGCACTGACAATGCAATTAACAAACAGCAGTCATGATCAATTACCTCACCTGAGTTTCATTTGAGAGTTGAGCATTGAGAGTGAAATATGGAATAGCTCATATTATATGATCACTTCGTTGCCTATCTGGACGCAAGGAATGTGAGAAATCTTGGCCCAATCTTGTCCCGTCTTATTCTTATACCTTTCCTCCAGGGCAGAACAGTAGTAGATACTTAGCCTTTGAAGAGATGGCGGCAAACCCTCTTCTGGCAGGCATTGGAGACTGTCACACCGTCTAATATCTAGATTTTGAAGAGAAGTGAGGTGTTGAAGTTCCTCTCCTGGCAGGAATTCCAGACTTGGACATGATGTAATTTGTAGCACTTGAAGAGAAGTGAGGTGTTCAAGACCCTTTCCGTCCAAAGATTTCAGAGTTGATAGAAAAGAGATGTTGAGTCTGCGAAGAGTGGTAGGGAGCAGCTGTTCCTTGAGCAACGTCTCCAAGACATGGTCACTTCCTCTGATACGAAATTCTTCAAGGGAGACAAGTGCTTGCAAACCCCAGTTACAGTACTCCCCCGCTGATGAAGATGAAGCCCTCAGTCTCTTACAATTTTTAATGCCAAAGTGTCGGAGGTTGGGAGGCAAACCCCCATCTTCTGCAAATGACTCCAGATTCGAAACATCCCCTATCGACAAAGATCGAAGGGCTGTGAGGGTGTGAATGCGTTTGGGGAATGACTTCAATTTCTCGCATCCATGGACTGAAAAGGAACTCAGGGGAAAACACAAATTATTGAGATGGCTGAGATTCTCATCAATGGAAAGGGATTCCAGATTCTCACATTCCCCAATGGAAAGGCTCGTCAATTTGGGAAAAATGCCCAACCGTAAGAACCTCATTGAATCACAGCTATTCCATATGTACAAATCGTCAAGCGATGTCAATTTGGTCAACATCTCATCGGCTAGGAATTCTAATTTCCTACAATCGTATATAGAAAGTGATGTCAACGTAGTGGGTAGGCCGTCCTTAGGGAACGACGACAACGTTGGACATTGCGAAAGATCCAAACTTTGAAGACAATTGCAGTTGGGCAAGCACTGTAGGTCAACAACATTTCTAATGTAAAGTTGGGACAGGAACTTTGTCTCTAATAATGATAACAGACCTGCCTGGCATCCTTCTATACGCAATTCTTTAAGAGATTTGTAGTTAAGACTAATGGTAGTTGTGGTAGTGGGCTTTACATCAAGTAAAACCTGACACCCACTCACCCGAAGCTTCTTCAAGCAAGGCAGCTCATAAGGCAAGCTTCCTCTCAGCTTCGGACATCCGATTAGAATCAGCTCCTGGAGACGAGGAAAGTCTGGACCATATTCACCTCCACTTGCACTTGCACTTCCACTTGGTACCCATTCCTCCCACTCTTCCATCCCCCTAAACTCCAGCCTCTCCAGACATTGAAATGGCTGAATCAGAGAACCTCCATTTCTGCCATAGAATTCCACCCCAATCGTCTTCAAAGACTTCATTCTTTCTATACAGAGCTCTTTGAGACCGGGTAACCGCCCAACTGGTGGCAACGACCAACAATATGTACAATCACTGAGATGCATGACTTGTATGTTAGAGAAAGAAGAGTCTCCTAACCAATTCGGGAAATTGGTTCCACCATAGAATCTGATGGTTAGTTTCTCCAAATTCAAGCAAGGCTGGAGCTTGTCAAGTACATCTTTCTCCTTTTGGGAATCATCAGCATCCTCCTCACCCCATGAAAGCTCTAACTCCTTGAGATCTTTCTTGTCTTTCATATTGGCTTGCAGTGCATCCCTCGCATCAACTACATTTTGCAAATTCAAAATTGAAAGTTTTCCTCCAAGCCGAAGCAACTCCCTCAATTCTCCTATGCTTGAGCCAGTAGATTTTCCCACAACAAAAGCAATCAATGTTCTCAAACTTTTCAGTCTACCCATTTGCACCGGCATCTCTTCAATTTTAGTTCCCCTGACATCAAGATGATGCAAATTAATCAACTCCCTCGTGCCTGCAGGCAATTTAGTAAGAGACCCACAATATGCCAACGTTAATTTCTGTAAATTAATCAATTTTCTGATGTCTGCAGGCAATTCAAGGAGAGATGAACAATATGACAATAATAATGTCTGTAAGTTGTAGAGTTTGCAAAGTGCCCCAGGTAACCTTTCAATTGCGGTATAGGAAAGATCCAAGTAGCGCAAGTGAATGAGGTTTCCAATAGACTCAGGTAACTCGGTGACATTTTTGTAAAGTGACAATGATACCACCCGTAAACATCTTAGTGATGGCAACAAATCTTTCATAACTTTTCTACTTATGTAGTTATGGCGATATCAATTTAAAGAGAGAGGTAGGAAGGTCCGCATACACTTAGCACCATTTAATGGCTTAAATTTTGTAGCAACATCAAAATCTCCACTAGCATATGACAAATGGCGAACCCTTTCTACTTCGTGTGATTCTTTCCCTTCCAACCTGGAACAAAAACCCTTAGACATAAACACAGCCAAGTCATTGATGAGATCATGCATAGTGAAACTTGATTTCCCCAACTTTTGAAACAATGATCGGGATAACAGTTCATTAAAATATTCCTTAGCCACCTCTTCCATTCTTTCCACATTCTCAGCTTGGGGAATTAAACCTTCTCCCATCCAAAGAAAAACCACATCTTCTATCTTGAATTCATAGTCCTTTGGAAAAATTGAACAATAAACAAAGCATCGTTTTAACGTTGCAGGAAGATAATGGTAACTCAATCCCAAAGCAGGAAGAATATTACTTTTTTGGTAAGGTAAGTCCCAAATGCTACTGTTTAATACTTTGTTCCATTCTTCGGAGTCTTTCTTGCAACGTAACACACCACCAAGTGTTTGTGCAACTAAAGGCAACCCATTGCATTTGCGTGCAATTTGCTTCCCGATTTCTTCCAAGTTTGGATGTGCACTATAGTTTTCATTTCCAAATGCATGTTTTGCAAGTAGCAACCAGCAGTCCTCATTTGACAGGGGTTCCAAGTATTGAATAGGAACATTTTGCATGATAGATGCTACATTTGTGTTCCGTGTTGTTATGATGACTTTACTTCCCCTTGCTCCTGAAGTAAAAGGAGTTTGGAGGAACTTCCAATCAGTATAATCTTCATTCCATAGGTCATCCAATACAAATAAAAATTTCTTTCCCCTCAGTTGTTCTCTTAGTTCAACTTGAAGCAAATTCAGATCTGTTGTAGTACAAGGCTTTGAAGTGACTGACTCAAGAAGAGTTTTAGTTATCCTAATAGCATCATAATCTTCTGAAATACAAGCCCAAGCTTGAAATGTAAAATGACTTTTCACCTTATCGTCATTGTAAAGCATTCGGGCAAGGGTTGTCTTGCCAACCCCGCCCATTCCAACAATGGTGAGGACAGACACATCATCCTTGCTTGCATCATCAGATAGCAACACTTTTGAGAACTTTTCTATGACTTCATCTCTACCATGGAAACAAGGTTCATGAACCAAGGAAGTTGTTGGAGTTCTTTGTGAAACCTGCTTCCCAGCACCTTCTCTAAGACCCAGAATACTTTTCTGTTGTACAAAGCTTTCTAATCTTTGTAACAACTCTTGTATCTTAACATTCATACTTTGATAAAAATGATTATGAGAAGAGAGGAAGTTCCACACCTTGTTGGTTAATTTGTCGATTTGATCTTCGCCTTCCAGCTTGCGTCGCAAGGCTTCAGTGTCGATCTCATCCAATAAGTCCTCCGCATCAAAGACAGCATGTTTGAGCTCATCAAGCCACTTTCTCACAGCAGGGTTTACCATTTGCTTCTCCTCTGCATCATCGAGCACTACATTCAAGGTCAACAATGTGGTGTTCAGTTTCATGAGGAGTGGTTTGTCAAGTTTCTTGTGCCGAAATAAGTCGACGAACTCGGCTGAAGTAATTCTGTCGCACAACACCTGGACGGAAGCAGAGATAAGAGCCTCTCCGATCAAAGCCATCTTTTCTCTTCTCTGCAGACTGCAAGGGATTTGGGTGAAGTAAAATATTCCAAGATTTGCAAGTAGCTAGGCTAGCACAACTTGGAAATACAGGTTTGTAAGGAAGTAGGAAGCTTTTCGAGATTGTAAACAAGGATGCTATCAACTATCACCGGCAATTTTGAATATTAGCAGAATTGGAAAATGACTTCTCAGTTTATGTCCACTGTCTGACATTTCCACTTTCATTATAAATGACTTTGGATTAAAATTTTATTAAAGAATCGAAATTCAAAATAATTGAACATAGAGTTAAAATAATGTTTGTCCAACTCTGACTGCTTCAAAAAGATTATTAAGCACTTAGCAACTTTTAATAATTGTTTAAGGGCAAGTGCTCCTCATGGACCCTAATGACATGCAAATTTGTCGTTTAGGGATTAAAATATTAACAACTTTCATTGATTATCTCAACAACGACAATATCATCGACCAATCAAAGAGCGTCTACGGACACAAGAAAGTGATTAACAGTAGCCTAATGTCTCATCAAATCCGAGGTCCCCACCACGTTGTGATTATCAATTATTTTATTTGCAACCTAATCTCGTCGTATGGACTCTTTCTAATTTCATGTGACTTTTTGGTTTTGGACTGGAGTGGGATAAAGAATAACTTGGTGCTCTCCTAAATTATTATAGCTTTTGACGCCAGCCATATGCGCACCTTCTGGTCTACAAATCCCTCGCAACCATGGTCTTAAATATCGGAGGTATCGGAAGTATCGGAAGTCAAAAAATACGGAAATATCGCAGGAAATATCGGGATATTATCGGTATCGGAAAAAATTGAATAAAAACCACGGAAATTGTAAGAAAAACTTGGAAATTTTTATTGAAACTTTGTAGGATGTTTATTTAGTCAATTATCTATTAGTTTATCACAAAAAATTGGAAGGAAATGCATTGCATGACGGATTTAATTGATTTAAGTTGATTATATAGCGAGCTGGCAAACACCATAAGTGTAGAAATATGTAGTAATTAATGAAAGAAGATTAAACACACCATAATCATTTATATATAATGAATTACTACAATATTTTACACTTTATACATTGCATGGTAAGATACATGAGTGACTTAGTACCACATAGAGTTCCTATGAGGTTCAAAATTTTCACTATCTTCATCATCTCTATGTGTAGAGTAAGTATATTTTGAAGAGTAGTCATCAAATGATAAATCCCCAAAATAGTTTTCCATGTAATTGTTAACATGCCACCCATATGGATCCGAGATTGGTTGACGTTGTCCATAAGCAAAATCATTTGAAGATTGAGTCTCGGATTCTTTCCATGTGTCACTTGATTCCATCCCAACAGGAATGGGATATGAAGGGTAGAGAAATGGTTGGTTATGAGTATAACCATAGTTACTACTTCCTACTCCAACAGAGTCCGAAGCTATAGATAACGAGTCATCTTCTTGACTTGACAAAGTCCCCTTGCCTCTTTCTCTACGAGT